TTGAACTCATGTCCCCTGCACTGGCAGGCAGATTCTTAACCACTGTACCACCAGGGAAGCCCCTGTTTAATTGTTTTTAAATGGTATTAGAAATAAGAATTGATATTTTAAAAGAAAACAAAATAAACAATACTAAAAAACCTCAAAGAGGCACCGGCAAGATCTGGGTAACTGGTTGATTGCTCTGGGCCAAGAAGATGTTTTGGATTTGTATAAAATAAAGTAAGAAATCAGTAAATGGAAATAATAAGACATTTAGAAATAGTTATAATTTTATGTTAAAAAATAATTTAAAACAAGTTGCCAACCATAGAAAAAGCTTATTACAATAAAAATATATATATATATATGAAAAATTTGTGGGAATCCTTTCAGTGATGAAAACTCAGAGGAATGGTATCAATTTTTTAATCTTCAAAGTCTACAGGATCTTCGAAAAGCTACCTAAGAAGCTTTTTCTTCTCTTCATCTAACATAAAAAGAATTTAAAAAATGCTTTTAAAAGGTCTATTATAAAAAAAGAAAAGGAGAGTGGAGAAGAAAAGATCTTAGAAAAGAAGAAAAAGTAATGGACAAAAATTTAAAAGTCTAGAAAACCTAGGACAATATAAGCCATTAGGATTATTTTTATAGACCTATTTTTAAAATAGTAAGTTGTATATTTTAGAATTTTAATTTGTAATATTTAAAATTTAAGGGAAATCAAGCATCTTTTTATGATCTTAAAAACAGGAATACCAATTTTTTTTTTTTTTTTTCGGTACACGGGCCTCTCACTGTCGCGGCCTCTCCCGTTGCGGAGCACAGGCTCCGGACTCGCAGGCTCAGTGGCCATGGCTCACGGGCCCAGCCCCTCTGCGGCATGTGGGATCCTCCCGGACCGGGGCACGAACCCATGTCCCCTGCATCGGCAGGTGGACCCCCAACCAGTGCGCCAACAGGGAAGCCCCTAAAATAATGTTATTAATAATTGTTGTAATTACTACCTATTGGTTTTGTTCCTTGCTTTAAAAATTGGTATTCCTGGGCTTCCCTGGTGGCGCAGTGGTTGGGAGTCCGCCTGCTGCTGCAGGGGACGCGGGTTCGTGCCCCGGTCTGGGAGGATCCCACGTGCCGCGGAGCGGCTGGGCCCGTGAGCCATGGCCGCTGAGCCTGCGTGTCCGGAGCCTGTGCTCTGCAACGGGAGAGGCCACAACAGTGAGAGG